CCAAGCTAACACTTCTTTAAAATATAATAAAAACTCTCATTAAGATGTCAAATCTTAAATCTCAATTCCTTTATCTCATTGCAGATCAGTACCCATCTGTGGACCTACTCTGAGTAACAATGATCAAGGCATAATAAAGATGATTAAGAGCAAGTATTACTCAGTCTTCAAACTCACTCATTCATTTAACAAGTATTTATTGAGCACCCATGTGCTAGATTAATCCCTTAGCAATGATCCTGTGAAATATCTGATTCTGAGCAACAGAGTCCATACCATTCTACCAGAAGTTTGGGGTCGTGTATCCCCAGGTTGCTGAAAGAGGTGGCCTGCTTCATGGAATTGTTTTTAATTAACCATGTATATTTTGGCTAGCAATCCTAGTTTTGACATATTTGTTTAAACCTTCCAACAGCACTTTAATATCAACTCAATGCTCCCACAGCATACTTCTGAATCCATATTCATTCAAAAGAATACAACATATAATTACTAAACAATTATTTAATAACAGCCTAGCATCACTAGGACACTAAGTATATAGTAATGAATAAGACAACACCTCCAACTCTGCCCTCTCAGAGTTTACATTCAAGTGGGGAGAGAGACAATAAACCAAATGAATATGTAAAATATATTTTATTTTATTATTATTTTTTAAAGATTTTATTTATCTGACAGAGAGAGACACAGTGAGAGAGGGAACACAAGCAGGGGGAGTGGGAGAGGAAGAAGCAGGCTTCCCGCCAAGCAGGGAGCTGGATGTGGGGCTCGATCCCAGGACCTTGGGACCATGAACTGAGCCGAAGGCAGGCACTTAACGACTAAGCCACCCAGGTGCCCCAATATATTGTATTGTATTGTATTGTATTTTTTTAAGATTTATTTATTTATTTGAGAGAGCGAGAATGAGAGAGAGTAGATGAGAAGGGGGAGGGTCAGAGGGAGAAGCAGGCTCCTCGCTGAGCAGGGAGCCCGATGCGGGACTCGATCCCGGGACTCCAGGATCATGACCTGAGCTGAAGGCAGTTGCTTAACCAACTGAGCCACCCAGGCGCCCCAATATATTGTATTTTAGATGATGATAAATACTATGGGAAAAAATTAAGCAGGATTTGGGAGGGGGGCATTTAGGATGTGCAAGACTGAGGTAGAGGGAGTTGGGGTGGATAACAGGTTTCACAATTTTAAATAAGGTAGCCAGAAAGGACCTCACTGAGAAGATAATATCTGAACAAAGACCTGAAGGAGGTGACCAAGCTATCCAAGCAGATGAGAGAAGAATGTTCCAGAAAAAGTACAAAAGCCCTAAGGCAGAAGCACGCTCCTGGAAACAGCAAGCAGTGTGGTAGCACATACTCTTTTCATACTTCTGTAATAGCAAAACCCAATTACTTTAAAATCCTCCATTAGGGTGCCTGGGTGGCTCAGTCGTTAAGCGTCTGCCTTCGGCTCAGGTCATGATCCCAGGGTCCTGGGATCGAGTCCCACATCAGGATCCTTGCTCCGCGGGAAGCCTGCTTCTCTCTCTCCCACTCCCCCTGCTTGTGTTCCCTCTCTTGCTGTGTCTCTCTCTGTCAAATAAATAAATAAAATCTTAAAAAAAATAAAATCCTCCATTAGAAAGACTCTCAGGGCTTTGAGGGCGGGAATCAAATCTTATACATCTTTACATCCCCTGTTCTTGTCGTCGTTGAAAAACAAGATTGTTGGGCGCCTGGGTGGCTCAGTTGGTTAAGCGACTGCCTTCGGCTCAGGTCATGATCCTGGAGTCCCGGGATCGAGTCCCACATCGGGCTCCCTGCTCAGCAGGGGGTCTGCTTCTCCCTCTGACCCTCCCCCCTCTCATGTGCTTGCTCTCTCTCATTCTCTCTCTCTCAAATAAATAAATAAAATCTTTAAAAAAAAAAAAAAAAAAGAAAAACAAGATTGTTTAAGCTATTAGCATTCTTACATTGTGATGGTACAAACCTGTTTCTTTCCTCCCCAATATCCCCTCTCCCATAAATTCGCTGTGTTGCAAGACCATAAAGTCCCTGCTGCCTACCCAATTAGAAATGCCAATTATCCTAGACTCTTCCTCCTTCACTCTCAACATCCAGTCACTAAATGCTGTCCATTCTTTTTTACACTATTAGTGGCCCCCAAATGGTCTCCTTTTCCGCAGCCTTTCCTTCCAAAGAGATAACTGCAAGAAAAAAAGGAAATCTGTCTTCATTTTTGAATATATTAATTTTAAATTCAACCTCATTTTATATGTAGCCTATGTGTTTACAAAATTTAAGCCAATCATTACTCCTCCGATTTAACACTGGCAGTTTTTATAATTTGAGAACTTCTCTGAATTATGAAGTTCAAAGGTTAGTATTGTGGTCCAACAACAGATTTATATGTGGCTACTACTCTCATTGAGATGTTTCTCGAAATTCCAGCGAAACAGCTTCCATACTCAATTTTCCTTTGTAATTTCGATTGGACATGGTATTCTTCACTTTCCATTGTGAAGTCTGCTACTGAGTGTCAACAGCTGCTAAGTCCCACTGCATCACAAGTGAAGGCAGCTTTACATTTCAGGGTATGCGATTCTAGTTAACCCGAAGAATGAGTACACACAGGTGCTAACTGGCTACAGTCTGGTTAAGATATGTTCCCTGGTAACGAAGGAAACCTTCTCATTTGTCCAATTCACTTACACAAGGCACATTAAATAAAGTGTCTTAAGCACTGTGTAGTAGAGCAGTCAGGATTTGGAGTTAAAAAAAAAAAAATCCCAGATTTCATTGGTAGTTTTAGGACCCCTGTTAATCTGTTTAACCTGAGCTTCCGTTTCCTCATTTTGTAAAATGAGAGTAATGTTCTCACTAAGTAGTTGCAGGAGCGAGGGAAAGCAAGTGAAGATGCAAGACAGAGGCTAGTACTTGTTACACTTGGCAACATGGCCCAGAGCACGGTTGTTTCCAGGGCTCTTTGAAACTACAAGTCAGTACCATGGGGGTAGAAAACATCTGCACATTTAAATTATCTTAATGGTCAGATAAAAACAAGAAACTATTGTAGGGAAAGGAAAAAGAATTTAAAGCTTCCAAGTCTCAACTGTATATTCTTTCCAGGAGACACTGAGGGGGTAAAAAAAAAAAAAAAAAGATTTTACTCGCATGGTTTCATACTCAGTAACACCTCAAACAATAATTTGCTTTTAACCAAGAATTAATGGCAACAGTTTGCAAACAACAGCATTTTAGCAGGCAGTTCTTATTTTTTCAGTAAAAGGTGCAAGAAACTAAGCAAGGTTTTATATACACGTGAATCTTGTCTTTTAATTTAAAAAACACCCCTGAAGTGTTTTGGGGGAAGCCAGAAAGGCTGTAAGAAATCGGACTTCGGGTCAAAGATCAAAGAAACTGGTACTCACAAAGTACCCTGCGGCTCTACATTAGACACAGGACGAGGAGGAGGGACCCAAAGAGGGAGTGGTGGCTCCCGTGCGTGGTCTATTAATTTAGTTTGCTCTCTTCTGTTCACATCCTGAGCGGACTCCACCCAAAGCAACCGAACGAGGGGGTGGGTGGGACTCACAGCCAAGCAAATAACAGTCCCAGAAACCGAAACGGAATCGAGGTGAACTGTGAAAACACGGCTCACCAGAAAGAGGGGTGGAGAAGGGGCGCCGGGGGGGACCCTTCCCTCGGCTGGTGAGACGCCCCTGTCCTCGCTGCTTCCTGGGGGCGCCCCCTCCCCTCAAGCGCCACCCGTTCCCTCCTGTCCTACACATGGGAGGAGGAAGGCACCATACAGAGCAAGGCCACTCGTCCCTGGAACGTGGGCGGGGAACACACAAGTATCCCCCAGAGATTCTAGAAGAGAAACTGAGCGGCAGCAACCTGAAAGAGGCGGGGGAGAGAAGGCAAGGAACTGCAGAGGTCGCCTGCTAGGGCGGGCGCCCCAGGAAAGAGGAGCTACCTGTTGAATGGACCCGGCCCTGGGGCGGCGGAGAGGGAGGGGGCGCGGAAGCCCAGCGAGCGGACCGCCGTCTCCAGGGCAGCCTGTCCGGGGCCAGTGCGATCCCAGCCCCAGTGCCTGCGGGGGCCCCACCCTGGGAAGCCTCGGCTGCAGACAGAGATAAGAGACACCGACAGAAGAAAGGGGGAGGCGGCCCACGGGAGCCCGGCTGGCCCGCTCCCGCGGTTAGTCACTCACATCTGATACTCGTCTATCGCCTCCACCAGCTGGCCCCAAGAGTCGAAGTCGGCGCCTCTCCTAAAACTGGCGCCCCAGCGCTGCAGCAGACTCCGGGTCACCTCCGACATGGCCGGTGCCCACCCCGTCCCCTCCCGCCCCTACCCCAGCGAGGCCGGGCTCTAGGGCGCCATCCTCCCCGGGCCTGGCCCCGACATTAACAGGGCCAGGAGGAACCGCTACGGCCACCACCGCCACCCGCCGAGGAGCCGCCCAAGCCCATTTGCCGCCACAGCCAAACTTTGCGGCTCTGAAGCGGCCGCCCCGGCGAGGCTCCGCCCCGAGGCCCCGCCCCGCGTTAGGTTGAAGCCGCCCCGCTCGCGCGAGGGCCGCCATCGCTATTGCGGCTTTCTTCCTCGGCTTGGGAGGCCCGGCCGCGTCCTCTCTTCCTCTCAGGAGAAGAGACCGCAGTTCACGATAAAGACTGGGGAAGAGTAGCTAGGACAGGGCTGAGGAACGGAGCGTTTCGAGGGGGCCCCTAAGCGGCGCGTACTGCCGCCTCGGTAGCTGTCATGGCGGCCCGGGCCACGTGACCCCGGCTCAGCGCAGGCCTGGTTGCCCTTGCTCTGGTTCGGCAGCCCTGGCTCTCCGCCTCCCTCCCTTTCTCGTTTGTGGACTCGGACGTTCCCTTTCTTCCCTTAGGAGGACTGCTACACAGATTTCCGAGAAATCCGGTAAGTTTGTCATGAGAATGGGCGTTTCCCAGTAACACCCCTACCCCTGGCGTTATCCCGGAGTCCCAGCGATAGGGTCACCCCCCCACACCCTTTTACACGCGTTTTACAGTCTCCATAGACTCCCGGATAGTGTCCAAAAAAGTCTCCTTCTAATGCCTTGAAACAAACGAAAGAAAATGCGTGTTGGCCCTGCGAATCGATCGTATTAACAGCTAGACTCGCCGAATCCCCTTGCCCGCGTCTCCACTGGCAACCGGGGATCTTACAAGCTAAACGGGGGTTTGTTCTGCCGTCGTCGGCCCGTCTCTCCCGGGTGGAAAGTATCGGCTTTCCACGAAAATGCCTGTTCGGATGAGGGGGTTCCTAGGCTTGGCGCCTGCGCAAGGCCGCCGCGCGCCGCCTCCAGGGCCGGGGCTCGGGAGGAAGAGGCTGGGTGCTAAACCGGAAGTGGGCGCTCCAAACTCGGGGGTGGCTCCCAGGTAGGTTCGTGGGGGGCCCGGGGCCTGGCGAGTGGGGGAACTCTTTCACTAATCGGAGGCAGGGGAGGTGGCAGCTTCGACCAGACCGTGGTGCTGGTGGCTCTCAGGGCACCCCTGCACCTGCGGGTGGGTGTGTCGCTGTTCTCGCCACCCTCCGAATTCCTGAAAACAGGAATGGCAGGTCTTAGAAAGGGGCAAGATGGGGCCGGGGCGGAGAGTACAGTCCTTACCCTCTTCGTTCCTGAAGCCAGGATACACGGAACTGTGGACATTTTCATCCAGGAAGTGGAAATCCACCTGAAAAGGGTATTGGTAGAAAATCTGCTGTCCCCAAATCGAGTGTATGGTGTGCCATTATCTCCAGAAGGCTTGATTTATATGCACGTAGAAGCTGTATTAATTTACTTGTTATAAAGTTGGTTTACATGGATGTTTAGAAGATTGTGTATATTCTTAGAAGAACTTGTTAAATGTTTTGAGCCGTAAGTGAACTTGCTCAATTTTCCATTGCGTATACAGTGCATGGAATATCTGGTGCTTTCCCAAATCGGTTTTGTCGGAAATAGGTGAATATTTTAAGGGAGGTGCTGCAGGAGGTGTTTCTTACACGGTGCAGCCCACGGTTGTTGTTTCTTTCCCCAGTCAGAAAATTCGATCAACAACATTGTATAATGCCTTTAAGTTAATTAAACCTTATCAGGCTTTCTTGACTGTGATTTCCCGGAATCTAGTTGCCACATTTAAGTGTTCTGCTGGGCCTTCCTGTATTCGCATTTTCTACCTAAGGACTATTAGGCAAGTGACATGCTTTTTTTTTTTTTTTGTAAGATTGATTTATTTATTTGAGAGAGACTGTATGCAGGGGGAGAGAGAGAATCCTAAACAGGTTCCATGTTCAGTGCAGAGCCCAACTCAGGGCTGGATCTTAGGATCCTGAGATCATGACCTGAGTGGAAACCAAGAGTAGTACACTTTATTATTTTTTTTTTTTAAAGATTTTATTTATTTATTTGACAGAGACAGAGATAGCGAGAGCAGGAACACAAGCAGGGGGAGTGGGAGAGAGAGAAGCAGGCTTCCCGCTGAGCAGGGAGCCCGATGCGGGGCTCGATCCCAGGACCCTGGGATCATGGCCTGAGCCGAAGGCAGACGCTTAAGGACTGAGCCACCCAGGCGCCCCCAGGAGTAGTACACTTTAACCAACTGAGCCACCCAGGCACCCTTGGGACTATTTTTTAAGTTGGCATTTCACTTAGTTAGGTTTTCAGATATTTTGGGTTTATAGGATAGAAACTTTAATCGAGTATCATGTTTTTTTATTCATGAAAATTCTGATTTTTATTACTGTTCTGTGGAAAGTATATTTATTATAGAAACACATGCTGTGACCAGTTAATTGGCATCAGCAATACTGTGTTGGAAATACAGTTAATTTAAAACCTATTTATTTCAAGTAACCTTAGTTTAAATAAGGGTCATTATTTGTACGTGTGTATGTCTCATATATATACAAACACACACACACATATATATTTTAAAAATGTATACATATATCCTTAGTAAACTTAATTTTTATACTATTTACATTATTAAATGTTTCATTTTTATTTTTTATACAGTTTCCTTTTTTGTTTATACGAAACAGCTGGAGAAAATGACGCACTGGTTTCATAGGAACCCGTTAAAAGCCACAGCTCCTGTCGCTTTTAACTACTATGGTGTAGCCGCTGGCCCTGCTGCTGCAAAAATTTGCAGGTTAGTTTTAGTTAAACTCAGCAAGTACTGATGGAGCCACTTTGGATACAAGGTACTACTTTAGGTTTCATGGAAATACAGAAGCATGTAACACCTTGCCCTACCCTTAGGCTCTTTGTAAACTTGCAAATGACCTGTGAAGAGTGAAATAATAGATTATAAAGTTTGGCAGTCATCTAGGCTGCAGTCCTTAATTTTAGATCAGTGAGTCCCAGAGAGGCTAAAACAATCACAATAAGAGTTAAGCTATATATTACAACAGTACAAGAGACTTCACAAAGCTGTATATGGATATTGTTAATTAGCCAGATAGTAAATTCATGGAGTTGTGAGCAGGGAGAGATCTCAGTAATCTGGAATAGGCTTTAGAGTGTTCATATAGGAGAAAGGACTTGAGTTGGAGTTCAAATAAATTGTATGGCTCAGTTCAGGAGTTGGCAAACTGTCCTGCAGATTTGGCCCACTGCCTATTTTTATAAAGTTTTATTAGAACACAGCCATGTCACCTCACCCCATTTATTTATATATTGTCTCTGGCTGCCTTTGGCTGCTCTCCTGTACAACAGCAGAGTGGGGTAGTATCAGCGGAGACTTTCTGAACCACAAAACCTAAAATATTTTTCAGGCTCTTTATGGAAAAGGTTTGCTAATACTTGATTTAGATTGTAAGAAGTGATAGAAGAAAATCATTTCTGTCAGGAAAACCTTTATTCTAGGGGTAGTGAGTAGAGCAGTTTGCAACAAAAGAGATATATGCAAGAGATATTTCAAAAGAGGAGTCAACTCTGGGAAGTTGAAAAGGATTCAGTCTATATGAATAGGTGATTTAGATGATCAAGACCTTGATGGTACCAGTAATGGAAAATTGAGAGTGTTGCTGCTTTTTGTGGAAAGAAGTAACAAACAAAAGATAGGAAAGCTGGCTTATTTATCTAGATCAGAGGTCATCAGACTTTCTCTGTGAAGAGCTGAGTAGTAAACATTTTAGGCTTTGTGGGGCTATATACAGCTGCTGTTGCATATTCTTCTTTGTTCATTTTACAAAAACAAGCTGAGAGCTGTACAAAAACAAATTATAGGTTTGTTTGCTAACCCCTGATCTTACACTCGTAGAGATTGGTCCCGGCTTAATTGTTATATCCATAGCATTGGGCAAGTCTCTTAACTTCTTTGGGTCTTATTATTCATTTTTAAAATGAACAGTCTAAAATAGATATTTCTAAGGTACATTTTTCCTGAAATTCTGTAATTTTAAGGTGAATATAACTTTATACAGTTGGGTTGCAGGTGATTGAGTGCCTACCCAGAAATAGCTAGCAACTTATTTGAGCCTAGAATAGGCCTTAAGAATTCAGCCTTGTTTCTGGTCCGGGAATTACTCTTGCCTAGCTTCTAGTTAAATAACTCAACAATGACAAATTCATAAGGTAGCCCATCCCATTCTGGTCATCTGTATGTAATTGTTGGTATGTACTTTCTTGGAAATAAGCCTTCACGGAACTTGTACCAGTGAGTAAACATTCCATTCAGACCATTTAAAATTAGGTCTGAGCTTTCTTCTAAACATCACTGCTGCATTATAGGCCTTGTACATCTTAAAACATTTGAAATGTTAGTATTCTTTTATTCAGCAAAGTATGTGCTTTGTCCTCGGCATCTACTAAGTTCTGGATATACAGTCCCTAGTCTCTCGGTGCTAACAACTGAAGTGTAGTCTTTCATTAGTCATTTATATGCAAGTGTCTTCAGTCATTGTCCCTGCGGTATGATTTCTGAACCCTCATTAAGCAAGTTACCTTCTGAAATTAGATGTGGAACTGGAACCCGGCCAAGGTAGAGCTGATGATGTAGATCTCAGATTGTATGTAAAATTGTTAAGACCTCAAAAGAGAGAAAGGCGGAAAGCCAAAGACTATAAACATTTTTAGGAACTTTAGAGATAAGAGGATATCCAGGAAGATTTAGTGTTAGTGGAATACAGGGAGAAGAGACTTTCAAGAAGGAAATGGTGGATCTGCAACATTTATTGCTGCAGAGAAGTAAAGGAGAATGGGGACCAGGGAGCAGTTTTAAAATGAGTAGTGGCCACATGTTCTCACACACTCTTGATGTGTATGTTGAATTATAGGATGCAATTTAAAAATAGGGTTTCCTACTTAATAAGATATATTGATATAATGTCACGTTTTGAAATTTTAAGGAGATACTAAAACTGCATAAGCATGTTAAATTTCCATTTTTCAGAAAACTTTTATTGTGAACTGGTCTGTTTAATTTACTCATTCTTAATTTCTTTCTCCCATTTTGCATGCTTGTGTTTATTTGATTTTTTTAAATTGAAACTTGCTGTATATTTTTATTACACAATTGTATCCATGATTTGCCTCTTAGGTTGGGCTGAGCTTATTTTAGTACAACTTGTAAAACAGTTGTTACTAGAAATTTCACTTACCTCAGTGTTAGTCCTAATTAAGTTTATTCCTGTATACTCTTAGTAATACCTTAGAGGAAGTGTATGGGTGTGCATTATTTTAAAGCTTTTTACAGTTGAAACTTTAAGCCACTTTTACATAGATTCATCATAATGTAGCTTATTTAATTTTACTGTTTCTGTCTCATATAAGTGACTTGAGATCATCCAGAGCACGGCTGCTTGAACTCTTCACTGATTTGAGCTGTAATCCAGAAATGATGAAGAATGCATCAGATTCCTATTTTTCACTTTTACAAGGTTAGTTATTTATGGGAACTTCAGAGTTTTTAAAAAACAACTTTGCAGAAATTCACATTTAATTCTTAGACTTTACAAATTTGAATAGGTTAGTCTTCTAGTCTGTATTCTTTGATATACTTGAGTTTCAGAAACGTTGAGAATGTCAGGATGGTATTGGTCCCTCTAACATTTTGAAAATTAAATGTGTACATATTTCATATTATGTTACCTTAGAAGAAGGTGTGAGGTATGGGGCGGGGAGAGGGGCTAGGAGTTTTCTTCAGATATCTGGATAAGTCATTATCTGAAAAAATTTCTAAACATAATACTTGATATTTCTTCTAAAACTGAAATGCTGTACCTTTTTACAGGTTTCATAAATTCATTGGATGAATCTACCCAAGAAAGCAAGTTACGATATATTCAAAATTTCAAATGGACTGATACATTACAAGGACAGGTTCCAAGGTAGGCAAGCTAACAGTACAAAACGGAAGCCATTTTTGTAACTATTTAGCCAGTGGTTAACCCATAGCCTCTGTTTTTAAAGAAATAGAATATAGATCTGATCAGCATTTTCTCTTATCAGGTAATTAGTTAAAAACATTTGACCTAAACTCTTAATGCATTCTGTTAAGTAAAAATACAGTTTATTTCTCCTGGACCAAATCTGTTTCTGAGATAATCAATACAAATGTTAACCAGACTTGAACACTCTTGGCTTTATTAATTATATGCAAAGAACAGTTTGGAAATTTGGAATCCAAATCTATCTTTTAGTCTTTGCCTGCCTTCAAGGAGAGCCAAAGTTTGCTTTTCACCTAGTTTTCTTTTATGATGGATAGTTCAGATGTCTTTGGTCAGTCTCTTTCTTTCTCTTTGTCCCCAGTTCCACCCCAGCTCCATACTCTTTTGAGCATAGTTTTATTTTCTTCCTAATTTCTCGTCACTGTTTCTGCTCTTTTAAAAAATTTCGCCTCAGAACTTTCTTATCACTCACTTGAAACTAATCAGAAGAGGTCTAGTTACAACAGGAAACATCATAATGGTGCTAAACTTTTATTGAACTTTTTTTTTTTTTAACACCATTGTATTATTTAAGTGACCATGTATCCGGATCTCCCATTTGCTGTAGAAAGTTGTATAAAGTCAGAAGGGAAGGAAGTGGAGCTTGCTGAGAGACCCAGGGCAGGCATTGCAGTGGAAGGAGTGTGGACTTTGGGTTCCTATATATTCAGGTGCAATCTCAGGTCTCTCTGTGAACACCTGCTTCAACTCTGGGTTGGGGTTACAGATATAGGGCTTTTGTGAGGAACAAAATAGGCAGATTTATGGTAGGTGACTCAAATAATGCCAGGTGTATAATATTTAGTAAATTGTTAGTTTCCTTCCTTCCTTGGCAATATTGTATGTAGAATTCATAAATTTGGTAGGAAGTTGAGGACTATGGATTCTTTCCAAATTTTAATATTCTGGGATACTAAGGTTTTCCAAGTTCTCGTTTTATGTTTTTTTTTCTATTCTTTTTTTTTTATGTGACCCTTTGTACTTTATCTAAAATTAAGGAATGTTTTTCTTCAAAAAGATGTTTTTTAGAGTCAAACCTCTATCGTTATGACATCACGAAACTTTGGCAGATTCTAAAGTGTTTTGTATTACATACATTTGGCACTTTTCCCCACCATGCCAAATTTTGATTACTTGTGACAGCTATTTTCAGCGAGTTTTATGAGACAGTGAAAAATTAGATGATGAAGGCCTTAAGGAATGATACCCGATATTCTCTACATCTGAGATTTCTATTTATTTATTTATTTATTTATTTATTTATTTATTTATTTATTTTAAAGATTTATTTATTTATTTGAGAGAGCGAGAATGAGAGAGAGTACATGAGAGGGGGGAGGGTCAGAGGGAGAAGCAGGCTCCTCGCTGAGCAGGGAGCCCGATGCGGGACTCGATCCCGGGACTCCAGGATCATGACCTGAGCCGAAGGCAGTTGCTTAACCAACTGAGCCACCCAGGCGCCCTACATCTGAGATTTTTAAGTTGCTTTATCTTTGATTGCTGTTTATTCAGTAGAAAGTGTGCTGTGAATATATCTGTTCTGAAAAATGCTTTTTCAACTATATACATTCTGACTACTAAGATGTGGTACAATAGAAATGGAGTGTTTGGGAACAAGGCAGACTGAAATAAATGAAGGCTAAAAAGGGAGACATTTATTCATGAGACTTTATATAAATTAGCAAAACTATCTTATTTAAAGGTAAACTTATAAATTAGATTGCCTACCAGATTACCAGATACAATTCATTTGAAAGTTCTCAATGCTGAAAAGAATAAACTTTTTTTTTTTAAGATTTTATTTATTTTTCGGAGAGAGCGCCAGAGTGTAGCAGAAGCAGGGGGAGAAGGAGGCTGAGCAGGGAGCCCGATGTGGGACTTGATCCCAGGACCCCGGGATCATGACCTGAGCCGAAGGCAGACGCTTAACTGACTGAGCCACCTGGGCGCCCCGAGAATAAACTTTTAAACTGTGCATTACAGCTTTTACCGGTGGGGTATTGATGAGCTAAGACTGTTCTTAAGAGGTTTGTTTAGTGCTCTGGCAGCACATACACTAAAATCAGAAAGTGTAGAGATTAGCGTGGCCCCTTTGGCAGGATGACACATGGATTTGTGAAGCATTCCACTAAAAAAATACATAACTCACATGTTTGTGTATTATAACATATTAAACAGGGTAGTATGTAAGTTATTTTTGAATTGTGAATGTTTTATAACACCCCACCTTTTTTTTTAATCCAAAAAGTTTCCCTGTTTCCATTCCTTTTATGAGGCAGCAGTTAAATAAAAAATACAGAGTGGAGGGGCACCTGGGTAGCTCAGTCAGTTAAGCGTCCAGCTCTTGATTTTGGCTCAGGTTGTGATCTCAGCGTCATGAGATTAAGCCCTGCATTGGCCTCCGTGCTCAGAGGGGAGTCTGCTTGAGATTCTGTGTCCCTCTCCCCTGCCCCTCCCCCGACAAGTGCTTGTGCGCATGCATGTACCGTCTCAAATAAATAAATCTTTAAAAAACACAAAGTGGGACCATGATTCTAGTTTCTTCCCTTTGGGTAATTTTTCTGTATCTTAGTATTATGTGTATAAAATAAGGATATTCTGTTTTCTTCATCACTTAAGATAAATGAGTAATATATAAATTCAAGTTCTTATCAAAGCAGGAATGATTAAAAATTAGTATTACCGTATTTGCTAAATAAGCTCTTGCCATCCTCTTGGTGTCATGTTTAGTAATAGAATCTGAAGGAAACAAATCAGATGTCTGTAAGACCTTTTTTCTTTGTGGTACACATAATGATTGGCTTGGCATTCAAAGTCTACCCGTTTCACCTCAGCTTGGCTTTTTGACCTCGATTTCTTTTTACAAACCGTGTACTCCACACTAGTTGGGTCACTACTCTCAGAAAAAATGTTTATGCTTTTCTTGTGCTTTAACAGCATCATTCCCTTACCTGGGGTAACCTTCTGCCTCCCCTCTAGCCATCTTTCAAGGCACAATTAGAGACTGTCTCTACCATTAAACCTCCTTTAATCATTCTTGCCTGAAACAATCTCTCTCTGAATTCCATTGTTTTTAAATTGAAATAAGAACCACCCACTCCAGAATCAACTGGGTACTTACTAAAAATATAGGTTCTGGGCCCCTCCCAGACTTTGTGATTCTCTGGAGTTGAGTCCCGTAATTTGTATTTTTAAAGCTAGTCTATGTACAGTAACCTTTGAGAATCTACTGTTCTCATGTTTACTATTATAGTCCATTATTTTTAGTCATTAAACACAAGGACTGTTTTCTTCATTTTTCCAGTTAGCATATAGTTGTTTTATAATTTTGAGTTGGATGTACAGTGGGCTTCATATAGCAATGTCTCAGTAATTGACAGAACTTAATGACACCCATGTTTATAATTCTAGTGCCCAGCAGGATGCTGTTTTTGAATTAATTTCCATGGGATTTAATGTAGCTTTATGGTATACCAAATATGCTTCAAGACTGGCTGGAAAAGAAAAGTAAGTCTAAAGGGGAAGGTTGTATACGTATGTGTTATTTTTCAAATATATGGAGATTCATTATTAAAAAGTCTGGGCTATTGATAAAAAATACTGCTTCTGTAAAAGGAAAGGTTGCCTCATAGTATTAGTATTTTAAGTATCGATTATGGAGCCCAATGTTAAAAGGGGAAAAAAATTAATCTTGTCATGAGGAAGGTCTTTCTAAATGAAACCCCAAACCAAGAGAAGGAAAAAATAGAGTATTTGACTGCATAAAAGTACCATAAACAAAGTTAAAAAACAAATGACAGATGGTCAAAAAAATTGCGATGCATGTGACAAATTGTTTTTATAATGGAAAGGAAAGGAAAAGATCAACAAATCATTTGAAAATAAGTGAAGGACATAAACTGGCAGCTCACAGAAAAAGAAATACAAACGTGAAAGATGTTTTGAAGGATTTGGGAACTGTTAAATGAAATAAGATGCAATTTTTTTTTTTTAATTTTTTTTTTAAGATTTTATTTATTTGCGAGAGAGAGAATGAGAGAGAGCATGAGAGGGAGGAGGGTCAGAGGGAGAAGCAGACTCCCTGCTGAGCAGGGAGCCTGACGTGGGACTCGATCCCGGGACTCTGGGATCATGACCTGAGCCGAAGGCAGTCGCTTAACCAGCTGAGCCACCCAGGCGCCCCAAGATGCAATTTTTATAATAGTAAAAATGGGTGTTAGCAATATGAAACTGGCAACTACCAACTGTGGTGCATCTGACCATGCATATAATACGCAGCCATTTAAACATAAAGTTGAGGGGCGCCCGGCTGGCTCAGTCGGTGGAGCATGTGACTCTTGATCTCAAGTTGTGAGTTCGAGCCCCATGTCGGGGGTAGAGATTACTCAAAAATAAAATATTAAAAAAATAAGTAAAATAAAGTTGAATTATATGTGCTGATGTAAAATTATCTCTAAAGTAATTAGGTGATTAAAACAAGAGTGTATATATGTGTTAAGTGTGTGCATGCATTAAGTGTAGAATATTTTGTGCTTGTTTAATGCACAGAAGATTATCTGGAAGGAACAGCAAGAAGCCTCTGTCCCAACCTATAGACAGGGTCTCCCTTTTTTTCATTTGTAGTGTGTTCTGTGGATAATTTTCATGTGCATTTGCTACTTTTTTAAGAGTCAGATTTTTTTTTTTGAAGGGAGAAAACTACTGGTGAGAAATACAAATGACTAATTTGGTTTTATGATAATGCATTAGTTGTTGGTTTTAGTACAAGAAACAGGATTCATCCTCTAACTAATGTAACCACTATCTTTAAGCATAACAGAAGATGAAGCAAAAGAAGTCCATCGAAGCCTAAAAATTGCAGCAGGGATTTTTAAACATTTAAAGGTAAAATAATAATAACGATAAAATATATTCCTAATGCTTTAATTCTTGAATAATTTTTCTTTCTTTGGGGAATGGGGAAGGAATTATTTCACTTTGTAAAAAGAACCTGGTATAGGTTGTTTTTCTTATGTTGAATACTTTATTGATGATTGCAGCCAATTACAGAAGTTCAGATGTCTTCATTTTAGAAAATCATCAGTGAATTTTACAGTTAGAAAATTCAAATTGTAATTCACTGGTTATTTTTGTATCCCTTTGGTAAAGATAAAAAACAAAGCACAGAGATTGACGGTTCTTACCATTTCTCATTGCGGTCTGTGGCAGTTGCCAGGATAAATCATGATTCTGCAAAACTGAACTTCTGAGGGTATTCTCTGTATCTCCATGAAAAGGCTAGAGGGGCAGTCAGTATGCAGTAATTATATTAAATCTCCAGTGATGGAAATTAGGAGAAAGACTGATGTATTTAGCAATCAGGATTACCCCCACCTCATCCTTATTAAACCGCTATTTACTAAACACCTTCCAGAGGCTAATAGTAGGTTTTCTCACGATAAAATAAGATGCTTTTACAGTGATTAAAAACCTATGATCCTGAGTTACCTATAGAATTGTAGACCTCTTGGGGCGCCTGGGTGGCTCAGTCGTTAGGCGTCTGCCTTCGGCTCAGGTCATGATCCCAGGGTCCTGGGATTGAGCCTCGCATCGGGCTCCCTGCTCCGCAGGAAGCCTGCTTCTCCCTCTCCCATTCCCCCTGCTTGTGTTCCCTTTCTCACTGTGTCTCTCTCTCTGTCAAATAAAGAAATAAAATCTTAAAAAAAAAAAAAAAAGAATTGTAGACCTCTTTCTACTCTACAGTTATTAATATAAATGAGTAATTCTAGCTGTCATGCAAAAGAACTTTGGTTACTGTTTCAGTTAAACATTTTCTTTTCGTTTTTTAAAGATTTTATTTATTAGAGACACAGAGAGAGAGGGAACACAAGCAGGGGGAGTGGGAGAGGGAGAAGCAGGCTTCCTGCCCAGCAGGGAGCCCGATGCGGGGCTCGATCCCAGGACCCTGGGATCATGACCTGAGCCGAAGGCAGACGCTTAACGACTGAGCCACCCAGGCGCCCCCAGTTAAACATTTTCTAAGATGAAAATGTAACTTGCATATCTAAGCTATCTGTTTTGACCCAAGTTTTGCAGACATGTATGAGAAACTTTAAAAATTTTTAGTATGTAGGAGCTTTTGTTCTCTAGAAGCTTAATATCGCTCCTTTTTACACAATTTTGGTGCCCTGAATTATTTTTGTTTAGGATTTTTTTTCTTTAAGACATTTTTTAAAAGATTTTATTATCTTTAATTTTAATTTAATTTATTTATTTATTTTGGGTGGGGGAGGAGAGGGGAAGGGCAGAGGGAGAGAGAAACCCAAGCAGACTCCATGCTGGGCCATGGAGCCTGACGGGGCTCGATCTCAGGACTCTGAGATCAGAACCAGAGCTGAAATCAAGAGTCATACACTTAACTGACTGCACCACCCAGGAACCCCAGGATTTTATTTTTAAGTCATCTCTATACCCAAGGTGGGGCTTGAACTCATAACCCTGAGATCAAGAGGAACATGCTCTACTGGCTGAGCCAGCCAGGCACCCCCTGAATTTCTGATAAATCCCCAAACTGAATGTCTCTTCCATTTTGTTCATCTCTAACAACTGGGTTAAAATAAAATGTGGCTTCTTTGTTGTTTTTCTTTCTCTCTCAGGAAAGTCATATCCCAAAGCTTATTACACCTGCAGAAAAGGGGAGGGATTTAGAGGCACGGCTACTAGAAGCTTATGTTGTCCAGTGTCAGGCCGAAGCTCAAGAAGGTATCCTAAATATTGTAAGATTTTTTTTTTTTTTTAAGAAATTTCTCTTGGCATCTAATTTTTTTTTTTTTTTTTTTAAATCAGAATTAGCTGGATTTGAGTCTCACATTTGAGAGATTTATAGTGAGGAACAACTTCACCTTCAGCATTTGCCTTCATGGATAGTTTAGCAGGAAAAGGCCTTGTAGTTTAAAAAGGATTTTGATGTCATGCCATTTCTGACAACATCAGATTAATTCTGTAACTCCTCTTTTCCCTCTCTGCCTTGCTCTTTCCTTTTCTTCTTCCACTGTTTGGCTTGCCTTTAAATCTTCACCTTTCAGTGTCAGGAAATAAATGAAGACTCCAGTAAAACCAATAAAGAAACTTTGTAGGCTTTTTGTTTTTCTTTATTTTAAATTCCAGTGCCCTGGAAGTGTTTGTTCTCCTCTGACATGCTGTTTTGTAGTAGTAATTTTTTGTGATTAGCTAGTAATTGGTTAGTGATTTAAAGAAACAATATCAGAATCAGCAAGCTCAGTGTTTTTGGTTTATGTTTGCATTTTCTGTAAGTTAACTTTTCATGTTAAAATTCTTAACAAACTATTAAAATTCCAAATAGATTGTTGGGCTGTCTTTTGCTGTTATAATTAATTTAATGCAAGTAAACTTAATTACACATTCACTTTATTGTGCTTTGGTTACAGTAACAATTGCTCGAGCAATTGAACTGAAACATGCTCCTGGACTAATTGCTGCACTGGCCTATGAAACTGCCAACTTCTATCAAAAAGCTGGTAAGTTTATAATTCTTTTGTTATATTTTTAGTCTTTAGATTTTCGGATTAAACTCTTGGCTTAACAGGGAATAAGCAGAACAAATAGATTCTCAGATCATTTCATCATTTGCAAAACTGGAATAATACCTGTGTTATTATCTTGTTTCAAAGAATGAGAACTGGGGGCACCTGGGTGGCTCAGTCGTTAAGCGTCTGCCTTCGGCTCAGATCATGATCCCGGGATCCTGGGATCCAGCCCCACATCAGGCTCCCTGCTCGGCGGGAAGCCTGCTTCTCCCTCTCTCACTCCCCCCTGCATATGTTCCCTCTCTTGCTGTGTCTCTCTCTGTCAAATAAATAAAATAAAATCTTAAAAAAAAAGAATGAGAACTGTTAATGCGCTACGTAACTTTTAATGGAAAGGACAGAGCAATCCTTAACCAGTTATATGTAATAATTATACAGGTGTTTTAGTTTTGAAGTTTTTTTGATCTTAATAATAACCTTACAGTTGCTGTCATTAAAGAAACAACTCCAGAGAGTTAGTTAACCTGTAATTTAACTGTTAGCAGGCGTGAAGTTGGGACTCGAACTCGGGTCTTCTCATTAGCCTGTTATTCTTTTCATTCACTTATTTAGGAAACAAGCATTTGTTTCTATGGGATGATTACTATTTTAGTTGCTTAGCTATACAAAGATTAATAGAACAGATTCACAGTCTGGTGAAAGAAACAAACACGTAGCCACATTATTATAGCATAAAATAAGATGTTATTACAGCAGTGTAATAAAAACCAAAGGATCTGGGGATGCTAGAGGAGACTGTCTAGGGAAAGGTGGAGTTTAAGCCTGACTTTGAAACATAAACAGAAGTTCTAAGTTTGCTAGGAAACTTTACCATATGAGAAGAGTAGAACATTCTGTAGTACATACAGAGAGAAGAAATAATTTAGCGTATTCTGGGACCTTTAAACAGATGCCTTAGCTGAAACACAGGGTGAGTGATAGGAGAAAAGCTTAGGAAAGTATGCATGTGTGAGATCCTGAATTGGTTTGAAAGCCTATCTAAGAAGTTTGGTTTTTATTCTGTAGATAATTGAAGCAAATCTGACTGATTGGATTTAAATTTAAGAAAGGTCCCTTAATTGTAAGATGAGAAATGGGCTTGCTAGGTGAAGGACTATTAGGCTGACTCCACAAGTGATTATGGTCTATGGAAGAAGTGATGGAAGCATTGACAAAGACACTGAAGTGGGGAGTGGAAGAGAAATGGATTAGAGAGAAGTTGGCAGGATGTGAATAAGTGTGTTAGGCAAGATTCAGTGCTGCAGTGATGGACCAGTAAGGAAAGTGTCCGTGTTTCTGACTTGGGTGACCACACTACACATTGCTATGTTACATAATTTTAAGAAAACAGTATAACGGTATGTAATTTGTATTTATCTTGAAGTTCTGTGTTTATCATTATCTTAAACTTGTTATGTTAACCATCAAAAGACGGGCCATGGCATTTAAACAGTCTTATTATGTAGTTAAAATATTATGGGAAAATCACTTTAAAGCAAAGTTTTTTTGGAAAATGTGTAAATGCTTGAGTTTTAGACTTGAATGGCATTCTGCTTTTAGCATCTGAACACATGATCTAAAGTCTTCTAGTGAATCAGGGTGAAATTATATTTTGCTTTTTAAAATGTAACTTTAGATCATACTTTATCCAGTTTGGAACCTGCGTATTCTGCTAAATGGAGAAAATACCTTCACTTGAAAATGTGTTTCTACACAGCTTATGTAAGTATTTATAACCTGAACAACAATGTAAATTACTGTCTTTCCAGCCCCTTGAGTGCTAGGTCTGTCATCTTGTCAGACTTTAATTAGCGTTTTACAAATAACGGACAGGTCTCAACTGTTCACGGACAGTGCAGCCATTGTGAGCTGAAGTGGGTGGAAAGACGTTATGTAGAATTGTAGAACTGCGTTATAGCAGTGGAATGACTATTTGAGCGAAACCCGCTTTTAATCTGGAACCTTCTGCCTACTTAATGAGAATTCTCTCCTTTCATCTTGTACATTGAAGAAGGTATTTACCGATTCTGATCTTAAGGCATTACACCCAGTATGTCCGCTGGATCTGTGCAGAACCCTTAGTAAGCACTGTTTGAGAAGTTACTTACCAGTCTCTTACACCCACCAACAAACTTACTTGTTTGTTGGTTAGAATGTCATGTGAGAAATAATCAAACACCGTTTTTGGATCCAGGTTGATACTTTATTCCTTATACCTTAAAAATCTGTTTTCAAGAATTTGCAGTCCTGCATTTGATACAGACATTGAAAGAATGAGCATGTCCTACTACAGGCTGATAAAATGTCTCTTGACAACTGTTTAGTCATTAACCTTAGAATCCTCCCTCCCTATCCCTCTGCATTAGCACCGCAATTTCCTTCCTTTATCTGCTGTGCCCGAATTGTAAAAACAGATTTCATTATTCAGAAATACTTTTTGCTGTCAGCCCATAGTTAGAAGGTTAGTGTGGCTCAAAACCTTGACATAATCCCACTTTTTATACTAACAGATTGGGGGGAAGCTTATTGAGGAAAGAAGTGTAAGGGGTTGCATTGATACTTCTAACAGTGGACAAAGGCGCTCATTCATCTGATGTATATGTAAAATGATAGCAGAAAGCATCATTTGCGGAGAGAATGAATAAAAATTTGTTTCTTTATCAGGCTTACTGTTATCATGGTCAGACTTTGTTGGCTAGTGATAAATGTGGTGAAGCAATCAGGTCTCTCCAAGAAGCAGAAAAATGTAAGTATTCCTGCCAGAATATTAACTCCTTTTTAAAAAACAAATGTTTTATCATAAAAGGAAATAAGCAGTTAAAAGAGATTTTTGGCTGAGTTCATGAAAGAATGGGACCAAGTGAGGGAATTGGAGAGAGAGGAACAAAGTTTTAAAAGCCAAAAAACCTGTAGAAAATACCCCCTTTCCTCTTACACTATTACTGATATTACTGTTCTACTAGGTAAGGAGCAGAAAAGTTCCTATCATCTCTGATTCAAAGCCTTTTTAGTATAGTCAGTAATTATAATCAAATGATTTTTATACCCCTTTCACATGCAGTTTATGCAAAGGCAGAAGCATTGTGCAAAGAATATGGAGAAACCAAAGGACCCGGACCAACGGTCAAACCTTCAGGACACTTATTCTTTAGGAAACTTGGAAATCTTGTGAAGAATACCCTAGAGAAATGTCAGAGAGAAAATGGATTTATGTGGGTACAGCTCGGTATTATTTTAGTAATATTAGTATAGTATATGTATTTGTAATTATAATGTTTAAATATGTTGTATCAGTAATCTCACAGTTTCTGTTAGTCTCTACCCCCAAAGATTTTATGTCAGATTGCATTTAAGTTTAACTAATTTTGTCTTTAAATTGGTAATAAAGTTCCCTTGTGTTGGACCTGACTTTATTCTGCTTCTAATGATGATATATAAAAGCAGATTTTAAAATTAAACATAAGTTATTAACATATAGCTCCCTTATAGTGTCTTAATTTTCTCTTAACTTCGCCTCCCTGCTACTTCTTCCCCATGTGTTATATATAGCTTCTCTGCTCCCTTTGCATATTCATCTCACTCTGGTTGCAGCTGTCTGTAAAGCAGGGAAATGGATTTTCTGTCAGTCCTGCCTAGTCCTATCGAGCAGTTTTCCATTAAGTCAGCATTGTTCAAACTGTAGATCACCACCTGTGTGGGTTGGGAGAATCAATTTTGTCCCCACTTTGTCTCTCTACGTCCTTCCCCTTATATTCTGCATCTGGTCACACTGAGCCCTTTTACTTGCTTAAACATGCCTAGTATAACTTTTATCACTTCCTTTGGAAAGCATTTCTGAACCACCCCCGCCCCCCAACATTGGGGTTAATTGCCCCTCTTTCGTGTTCTCATGGTATACAACATCTGTTACAGCTTCAGTTACGATGCATTGTTGTTGACAAGTTTTCCTGACTGTTTCGTCTACTCATACAAGCTGCATGAGGCAGGAGAATCTTGTCTGTCTTATTCATCATTAAATTGTCTTTCTCTCTCACAGGGCCTTGAACATAGTAGACGCTCAAGTAGTTGATGAATGAAATGAATTGCTTTCTATATTGCTTTTTGCAGTTACTTTCAAAAAATTCCAACAGAAGCTCCACAACTGGAACTCAAAGCAAATTATGGTCTCGTAGAGCCTGTACCTTTTGAATTTCCTCCTACAAGTGTGCACTGGACACCAGACACGCTGGCCGCATTTGATCTCACCAAAAGACCCAAGGATGACAGTGTACGAGATTGGCTTTCTTCCATTTGTTCACAAAAGTTCAAAAAGAGAATTCAGAATTAGCATTTTGGTATTTTTCTCTACTTAAAGTAGATCTATACATTTGTCTAAATGTTAAATTAGCTAACTGCAGTGTTTGGTGTAATGTGTGTTGTTGAACTCTCTCAGAGATAAGATCTCTAGGCCTTAATTATCTTCTGATTTCCTACATAATTGAGTCGTTTTTGAACACATTATCTTGCCTTTCTGTAGTTTATCAGAGATGCTTTTAAGAAGAGTGTGGGAGAAGAGGTCTAAAACAGATGGCTTGTCCATGTTTATATTGCTATAGCAATACTTTGTTTTTGATTTAGCATATCGCAGGGTATTTGAAGATTTGATCTAATTTCAACATTCCATGAAATCATCCAGGGGTAAAATAAGACTGCTTTTATTCATTTATATCTAAGTACGTCTAGGTGTACTAAATCAAGTAGTAGATTAAGTGCAAAATTTGAGGCTTGACTGCCAAAAGAGGAGGGGTCTGAAAAAAAGGGAATGGGAATTAATTTCCAGCCATAGCTCCTTCCTTGAAATGTTTTTATGTAATTTCATTTCTTAAAAGTCTAAGGTGGAAAAGATATAGTGTTTGTTTTCCAAATAATTAGTTTACAGTTAACAGTTAACACTGTGTTTCTCTTTCTCCCTAGCCCAAACCCAAACCAGAAGAAGTGGTGAAACCTGTGAAAGAACCAGATATCAAACCTCAGAAGGACACGGGGTGCTACATCTCCTAAAGTACATTGATAAAATGTGCACTTTGAATTTCTCTACTAGTAGATAAGATAAACCATGGAACTTCAGTTTGTATTTCTTGAAATGTTTCCTCTGAAGCCTGTAGAATGACTTAGTTCATTCAGAGGGAATCTGCCTTCAGTTTATTTGTTCTTGATTTTTAATATAGTAGAGATGTTTCATGCTTTGTTTCCAGACTCCCATTTTAATCAGGACAACACGTAAAAGATTTTATTGTGCCTCTGAAGGGCATGTTTGGCTGTTGATTTTTGTTCTGAACTCTGAGTAGTAATAAGTTTCCGGTTACTATATTATAGTGGTTTCGGGTATGTTTTTCTATCTTCACAAACAAAAAAGTTTATTTTCCTTTCTCTTACTTGATGCCAGAAGAATGACAGGAGTTGGATTTTAACCGAGAGGCTTTTCCCCCTCACCATTATGTTGTCACACAGACTTGTTATGTTCTGGGTCTATTATCTTTTCTGGTAGAAGAGTCATTTATAGTTGGAGATCAGAAAATCTGCATACCAAATCCCTTACATATGTAAGAAGCTATAATTTGTTCAGAAATCAGTGTTTATAGTATTTTGAGACCATTTAAGAACTTACCCCAGGGGTGCCTGGCTGGCTCAGTGGGGGGAGCATGCGACTCTTGATCTTGGGGTTCTGAGTTCAAGCCCCATGTTGGACATAGAGATAACTTAAGTAAATAAATAAATCTTTAAAAAAAAAAAAATACATACTCCTGTTCTGGTAGCCTCGCACTTTATTTCAATCTCAATAAACCTACAATGATTTTTACAAGTACCTTTCCTGATGGGTTTTTTTACTTAGAGGACAGAACTTTGTGACAGCTCTTTATGAACACAGAATGAAAATGTTTTTGCAGAAGTGAGATACTGCGTGATATAAAGAAGAAACTTTTTTTTTTTTAAAGATTTTATTTATTTATTTGACAGAGACACAATGAGAGAGGAAACACAAGCAGGGGGAGTGGGAGAGGGAGAAGCAGGCTTCCCGCGGAGCAGTGAGCCCAGTGCGGGGCTCGATCCCAGGACTCTGGGATCATGACGTGAGCCGAAGGCAGATGCTTAATGACTGAGCCACCCAGGCGCCCCAAGAAGAAACTTTTAAACCTAAACGAGATAGGTTGTCCTGAATTACACTAGTAACTCTACATTTTGGCGACAGAAGTTATGGTAAAATGCCTTTGTTACCTGACTTCAGTGTGCATTGTTTCTATATGGTTTTCTAATATACACGTCCTATCCAAATTGTATTGCTTTAGGCCAAAGGCCAGAACAAAAACTTAAAGAGCAAACATACAGTATGATCTTAAAAATAGCATATAATATTTGAAACAATTAGTTTAGCGTATACACAAACCTGGGAAATAGTGGATGCATAATACTTTAACAAAAGTCACACATCTGTAGGCTTATCTTTTGATTCTTCTTCTGGGAAAAATTAGCTAATTTTTCTATCATAAATGACAGATTGGTTCACTGAATAGAAATAATAGTAGTGTATATTGGGAGCGTACTATGTGCCAGGCCCTCTGCTGAACACTTACATAGATAAACCATTGAATCCACACAGCAACCCTGTGACGAATAAGTAAAGTCTGCATAAGGTGTTGAAATAGTAATAAACATTTCATTATGAAGAATAAATAGGGGCACTGGAACATATGACTCTTGATCTCGGGGTTGTGAGTTCGAGCCCCACGTTGGGTGTAGAGATTATTAAAAAAATTAAAAAGAAATAGATTATGCCTATCTGAATCAATATTGTGTTCAAAGAAATGATTACTTAAATCATAGTTTTCACTCTTGAAAATACATAGAATCAGGATTTTTTAAAAATATGTGAAAATGCTAATTACCCCTTTTGCTATATAACATTTAATATTTGAAGCTGCAGATTCTAATAAGTGGAATAATAGCCAGACAGACATTTAATTTTATTTTGCCGTGTATAGAAAAATATCTCAGTTAAATTTCACTGTATTTTGTGTGCTACTACAAAATCATTGGTTTGCTCTATGCCATTTACTGACAAAACTTTAAACAGTACTGATGCCAGCTTTTTGCTCTTGGCCTACAGGACCTGTTTGTCTTAGGTACCAGTGCTTATTAACCAAGTTAACTCAATTTTCACGTGAACATTTTTGTGAATCATACTACCATATATGGAATGAAAACGCGTCATACGGTCAGTGCTTCTGTAAAATGCAGGAAATACTGGTATTACTTTAAATCAGTAATTGGCAACTTTGACATGAGCAAGTAATAAATAGCGTGTTGACTCAGCGTAAGTGATGCATTGTGACTAGAATCCCCCAATCTTTATTATATTCTTTAAAATGGTGTTGGAAATTTTTGGAAGTTAACAGATGTAAAGCAGTTGCATGAAGGCTGTAGAGGGATGTAACGGTGTTAACTGTGCATTGCATACATTTCATACTTAGTTTAAACTGGATAATGACAGCTAACATACTCTGCTAAAAGTAGTTTGTATAATGAATTATCTTTTTATTTATGAAATAAAGTAATTTTACTTAACAGTTTCATCGGGATTTTGTTTTTTGACAAGTGTTTTTACATTTATTAAACCAGTAACCGTTAATACGGCACAAAAACCCTAACTCTTCACAGTAACGTTTTCAGATGACAGACACGTGCATCAGTGGCTTCACGCCACCGGAGTTCATTAAATATTCAACACTCCTCCACCTCCTTGGTTCCTATTTATGTTTATTGGTACTTAACACCTCTGAATCTCAAAGTAGGAGTTCACTTGGCCTGTATCTACCGTACTCATCACACTGGATGTGGTGTGTTCTGTGGGAAACTGGGCTAGAGAGCCAGTCCTTGTGGCTGAGCAGTGCTCTGGACAAAACTCTGTGCTTTGGGAACTTGAGGTGGTATTTTCAGTGCCATATAAATGTTACTGAGACATAAAACCCCATTCAGAAATCTTATTTTCCAGAGTGTGCTTTAGAAAATACCACATCATTTGTCTCTTAATATGTGTATAAAAATAAATTTGTGGGGTGCCTGGGTGGCTCAGTTAAGCTAGTCTGCCATCTGGTCAGGTTGTGATCCCAGGGTCCTGGGATCAGGATCGAGACTCGTGTCAGGCTCCCTGTTCAGTGGGGAGTCTGGTTCTCCCTACCCCCCCAACCATTGTGCTCTCTAAAATCTTAAAAAAAAAAACTTGTCATTTGGGTTACCATAATTTTGTGTCTGAAGATACGATATTTGAGCAGTTTGCTTGGAATTTATTTATTTATTTTATTTATTTATTTATTAGAGCACAAGTAGGGGAGGGGGCAGAGGGAGAAGGAGAAGCAGACTCCCCATTGAGCACAGAACCCCATGGGGAGCTCAATCCCAGGACCTTGAGATCATGACCTGAGCCAAAGGCAGACGCTTAACCGACTGAGCCACCCAGGTGCCCCTCCATCTTTATTTTTAAACATGTTTTAGTAGTAAACTAAAGGGACTAAATTAAGGGGAGCCTACTTTGAATTATAAAACAAAAACCCACTTATCCAAAAGGCCAGAGCTATCACTTAAATGCAATTCAATATATCTAAAGCCTTTGATATGCTTGAGGTAGGTGTGAGTTCATATTGTCATTCATTTGCTCCCTAGAGAAAATGTTTGTTCACCAGTGGCTTGAGTTTTATTCTCCAAAAAAAATTTTAAGTTTTGCTTATTTATGTAATCCCTACACCCACTCAACATGGGGCTCAAATTCCCCTGGCCAGGCACCCCTTGGGTTTTATTCTCTAAAGCTTCTCAAGTAGTTTCCCTCAACCTACTGATCTCAGCCAACTCAGCCTCTCAGTTGGGCAGAGCGTAAGGTGGCTGGAGCTCCCAGGCTGGTCACCTCCAGAATTTCAGAGAATTTCCTTACATCATCCGTCATGACATAGAAAAAGTTGAGAAATGCCCTCAGTAATGTCACCCTATCCACAGTGGTTGGGTGCACGTACAAGGTTCAATCCTGAAAATAGAGATACAAAAATGCTGCCAGGGAATGCTCTGTCAGCAGTTCTCATGGGGAGCCGTGGTTGGCTGGTCCACGTGTTCATCTTTGCTGGGTCCCCACAACTCCTGGCTCAGCCCCACCCGCTCGCCCTCCAGGGTGAGTGGCCGAGTGGAGCCGGCCGTTTTCCTCACGGGAAATGGCGTAGACACTGGTAGCCAGTCCTGCTCGGCCCAGTGGGGCTTGGGCTGTCCCAGGCCTGCGTTCGGCAGAGGCTCGACCTTTAGACGCCCACCCTGGGGAAGAGGGGAAGGTGGAAGCTGCGAGTACCTGCCCTGACCCCGTTAGCTCCTGCGGAACCAACTACGTGTGCCACTGCTTTGCTGCATTTGAACCTGGTTCATTTGAAAACATGCCTTGATTAATGAAAACTGAAAGAACTCTGGGAAATTTTCGGTATGATATCTTCCTGAAGTTAAATGCCGACATGTGGAACTAGTGTCTTATTTTGTTGGGACGGGTTACAGTGCTGTGTTGCAGTGAAGGACATAGTGAAATGATTAATGTGTAAACGTAATGAGAAAAATACTAAAGGGCAGCCATCTTAGCGTCAGAAATAAAGCCAATTACAAGTCTGTTCTTTCCTTTTTCCCCCCAATCTATTACATAATCCCTGCCCCCGCCACCCGTTCAAATGATCTAAACATATGGTTCATTTCTTAAACAAATACTGAGTTCCAGCCACGTCTCTGGAGGGGCGGGAGATGCAGCAGGAAGCACACAGGTAAAGCCCCTCCCACTCTGGCCAGAGGACCGGCTGGGGGCAAGGGGAGAGGGAGACAAGTGAAATACAGGGTATGTTCAATGATGGTAAGGGCTAAGGAGACGCAATAGTGAGCAAGACTGTTGAGTGGTAGTGGCTGTGGTGAGGGTGAAGGGAACGGGGAGGGGCCTCCAGAGACAGAGGAGCTCAGAGCAGACCATTTGCATTAAAACCCTGAAAGAGGCGAAGTCCAAGGGAGGAAAGACTAGTCCGAGAACTGCAGGTTCGAGGTCCCAGCCAGGAGTCTGTGTTCAGGGAAGGACAGTGCAAAGGCCAGCGTGTGGAAGTGGGATGAGTGAAGGGGAGAGCAGCACAAAATGAGATCAGACAAGTATTGGGGGGGGGGGGGGGAGGGCAGATCTACAGCCCTGCAGGCTATTGTAAGGACTTGGGCTTTTCCCCTAGGTGCTCTGCCAACCCCCTGGAGGGTTTTAAGCAGAGCAGTGATTGGAGCTGATTTAGGATTCAACAACCTTGGCTGCCTTCTGAGTATAGAGTGTAGGGGGCCAGTTAGGAGCCACTGTAAGAATCCAGGTGACAGATGATGGCTCAGACCAGCGCGGAGTGGTGGTATGAGGATTCCAGAAATATCCAAGAGGATTTCCTGATGGACTTACCAGGAAGTGTGATTAAATGAGAAGAATCAAGAATGACTCCAAAGTTTCTGGTCTGAACAACTAGAATAGAATTGCCATTTATTGAAATGGAAAGACTCCCAGAAGAGGAGATAGGAGTATCTAGGGGAGGGGTGTGTAGGAAGGAGAGTGCACTGGAAGTGTGAGCAAAGATTTAGGTATGTCAGGGCTGAGAGGTCTATTAGACATCCAAGAAGCGGTGTTAAGTAGAAAGGAGGATCTATGAATCTGAGATCCAAGGGAAAGTCTGACCTGGAGATAACACTGTTGGTTATAAATTTGTGTGTAGATAGTACTTATAGCCATAGGGTCATGGGGCGCCTGGGTGGCTCAGTCGGTTAAGCATCTGCCTTCGTCTCAGGTCATGATCCCAGGGTCCTGGGATGGAGCCCTGCATCGGGCTCCCTGCTCAGCGGGGAGCCTGCTTCTCCCTCTCCCTCTGCCTGCCTCTCTGCCTACTTGTTCTCTCTATCTCTCTGTCAAATAAATAAATAAAAAATCTTAAAAAAAACCAAACAACCATAGGGCCAAATAAGATCAATGAATAGATAAAAAGAGAAGAGATCCAATCACTGAGCCCCGAGGTACTGCAATACTGAAAGGTTAGGGAGATTATATGGTCTGTTAATTATATACTTAGGCACAATCCTTGATAAACTGGATTTGGGGTTTTTAAGAAACAAAAAGTAGAGGTGCTCATAAGAATTAAATGGAGATAAAAAGCATGTTGTAGGGAGTATTTGGTCTTCCGAAAGATCACTTGCAAAACATCCATGTCTACATACATGGTGTGAAGTTGGTGGTGCTCCCAAGGGTTCTGTAAATAAAAATAAGTAGATTCCGGGGGCACCTGGGTGGCTCAGTCAGTTAAGCATCTGCCTTTGGCTCAGGTCATGATCTCAGGGTCCTGGGATCAAGCCCTGCCCCCCCCCCCCCCCCTGCTCACTGGGAAGGCTGCTTCTCCCTCTCCCCCGCCCCTCCCCCGCTCTCTCTGGATCTCTCTCAATAAAGTCTTTAAGAAAAGTAAGCATATTCCACATTCTTCAGTAATTTTGCATGGCACATCCCAAAAAGTCCATTAGGTGGCAGAAAAACATTCACTAAATCGACTATAAGCTAGGTCTCTCACTTTCTTTTTTTTTCTCTCCTCCCTCCCTTTGAGCCCCCCTGAATTAAAAGATATAAATGCCCATTTAACTCCTAACACTATTATCATGAAGAACCCAAACCAGTATTTTCTTCAGAGAGCCAACAGGTATCATTAATCTGTAATACAGGTAACAGTTAAGCCAGGTATATGGGGGATGGTTTACTTCACTTGGTTTGGAAAGGTACGGACTGGGAGATGGTCTTCAGAGGAGTAATGTACAGTAAATGATAGTGGGACTGTTAGGCCTTATTAAACTTTTTATATTTAAGCTTTTTAGCTTGGAGCAAGGTTGGGGGGAAGGCTCAGAAAGCAAAATGCAAAAAGCCCTCTTGAAAAAAAATACACAAGGTGTCTGGGCACTAGCTCAATGTATACCAGATCATTAGATCTTTTCCTACTTCCTTGGGCACTGGTCCCCAAACTTGCCTGCACAGTGGGATCACCTGGGCAGCTTCCAACATAACTGATGCCCATGTCCAACCCATAGAGATTGTGATTTAAGTGGCCTGGGGTGTGTGGTCTGCCCTTAGGATTTCTTAAAAGACCCCTGGATGCTTCTAACCTGGACAAGTTTAACTGCCACTGGGTTTATGTAATGCCACTGTGTAATGTAACTGACCTTCCCACAACTCAAACATGTTCCACCCTGTAAGACACACACTAGAGCATGTCCACGTCAGCGTGTTTGAGGGCTCTGTATGGCCTCAGCCAAGTTTCATTGATTTATCATCTCCCGAACAACTTCCAGGACCAAATTTTGTACTACTTTCAAAGCCAAACATAACGAATAAAAGCAATGAAAGGAAAAGCAGAGGGATAAAGGTAGGTGAGATGTCTTCAAAAATGTTTTCCTTTCCTTTTGATTATTGTTGTAGGCTGTGTTTTATTTCTCATGGCCCTGACAATTTGGTCTTAAACACCAAATTAAAATGGTTACTTTTTGCTGCTCTTTGGCATCAG